GCATCTCTGTCATGATTCCTAAAGTCAGCGATCTCCTATGGAGTAGCAGAAGACTCATCAATTTATTTTAACTCCTTATCGAGGACATGTTCCTTATCCTCGTAACGTGTAACCATCCTAATGTTCCGGATCCAATCATTAAAGTTGGAACCATCAAAGATTACTCTCCCACAAAGATTTATGAGAGAGAAGGAGTCGATAGGGTTTGAGCCAGAAGCATTGTTGGAAGACATCTGAAGAGAAGAAAACACAAGTTTAGATTATCTAAAGAGTCCTTCATAAGACACCCAAATGTAATATTAAGGGTAGGACCCGACACAATATTTTATAACTTGGAAAAGGGATGTCGTAATCCAAGCTACAAAATCTTTGAAGGTAGGCGAGTGACGATTCACCAAATTCCACCATGAAAAACGAGATAAATTAATAATTTTTAATGAATTGAAATTCCTAGATTCTTTTGAGATTCATTGAACTTTTCAGTGTCATGATTAAATCTCGATTGTGCCCTTCAAGTTTATGACTAGGATGCCGAGGATCACAAAACAAGGTGTGAATAACCATGTAAATTAACTTGGTACACTTAATTTTATCACCCAATCGATGTGGTGGTTAACCACATGCTCTCCACCAATCTATAATAAAAATTAAGTTACCCTTTGCCACTCTTACTAGTCCATGTTAGTGTGTTGGTTAACCACACACGCTCCACTAACGACTTGGTATGGTACAAAAACTAATTTCATAGGTTAGCACCAAATTCACATTTTCCTCAAGTAACTAAGAATGGGAATTTATAAAACATTTAGTTACTTTATAATAATCATTATACTTAATGAGAATTAGTGTCCTATCCTACCCGTTCGGCATACGATCCTCTACCATTCAAGGAAACGGTGGGTGAGAATGGGCACCCATTAAAGTGATGTTTTATAGCCAACAACCTTATACCCCCGTATAGACCGGCTTCGTGAATGAGGCCTACTGACGATAAGACTGACTTGATCTTATATATATATATATATATATATATATATATATATATATATATATATATATATATGTATATATATATATATATATTAGCTTATAATACGATAAAGTATAAGGGTTGAATTTTAAACTTTTAAAATTCGAGGGATTGGAATTAAAGTATTAATGTGTGTGAAACTTTACAAATTCCAAAACTTGAAAGCAAGTTTTGAACCTATTCAAAACCTTTCATTTCTTTAACTTATGAGTTTTAAAGACTTTAAATGGAAGAGACTTTTGGAATTCCATAACTTGAGGACAAGTTATGGAATCCATTATGAAGCATGTTGATCAACAATTAACTAACAAACAATTTGCAAATAATTCCTATGATCTAACAAAACTCATAAGCAAGAAACATTCATATCAACAATTTTCAAGTATCATATGAACTTAATATAAAACTTGAAACGTTGACAATTATCGTTGAAATTGGATAAGCACAATCATTACCACATCAAAAACAGGTTTAACAATCTAAAAACAATTTAGGGTAATAATCCTAGTCCAATTCCAACAATAAATCTCGAAATTCTGCACTCAGGGCCTTCGACTCTTCGAGTCCATGAACCAACTCAACGATTTGGATGAGTTTTCACATGGACTCGTCGAGTTCCCCCATGGACTCGGCGAGTTCACTAAACAGAGAGTATAATTGAAAACAAGCCTAGGCTCTGATACCACTGAAGGGTTTTGAGCATTCTAACACTCCTATGGTGTACTTGCAACCCTAGAAACCTTGGATCTATGTTTTCTCTATTACACATGCAAACTTTCATTTTCCAAGGTTTTCATCCTAACTAGCATATCATGGGGTACATGTAATATAAAAAAAACTGGTAGGATGACATACATTTTCTTGTGGTTGATTCCATGGAGCTTCAAGATCCTAGCGCCAATAATGTGAATGCCTCAAGCGAAATCACAAACCACCAAAACAACTTGGAAGACTTTGAGAGAATATGATGCACTCTTGAAATTGGCCCACCCTTGTTATCTCACACACTAGTCCATTTCAAGTGCCAAAGACCTCTTTATATAGTATGGTGGATTAGGGTTACATCCATGTAAACCCTAATACCCATGACCTTTTATTTCCATAGGATCTATGGGTTAAAAGCTCAATGGACTATCTATAGGATTACATGCAAGCTTAGCCCATCCTAAATGAACATTGGTCTGTTCTATACATACATACATACATACATATATATATATATATATATATATATATATATATATATATATATATATACTATTCTCAAAAGACTATCCATACAAATTGTTCCAGTGAAGTGCAACCCAAATGGACCATGCCGGGTCAGGTCAAGTACATAGCAAATATAGTTATGGACTTATACACCTTATCCAACAATATGTATGTATCTCGCTCTAAAGATTAACGGTTATAATAGTGTGGGTATGCTAAGTGTTTTGACTTAGCTAATGAATATAGTTTCACTAAAAATCCCTTAACCAAAGTATGTGAATAGCTCTCTGCTCTAACTTAATTGTGGTTAAGTCATTAGCCATAATGCATTTCAATGTATAAAGTTTATAAAAGCCGAGTTTGCTTGGTATGTATGTAAAAGTGTAATGTACTTGCTTTTATAGACATGTATGTTTCAAAGCTCCAAAAGGAAAATCCAAGCTCTTTATGAGGTCATACACTCAATGGGGACCTCAATCACTTCAACCACATAAACTTTATGCTTTTAATACGTCCACAAGGTCTAGATCTGAAGTCCTTTCGGATCATTAAGCACAAATACATGGAGTTTGGTGTTTTAGGGCTTGAAGACCACCAATTTGGGACAAAAATGGTATCTAATGAACTAGTGATCAAGGTAGGAACCTTTCTACCTGAATGGAAGCTTCTCATAGTGTAGATTTCGGATCTACTCCCCTCCTTGAACTCTTCAACCTCCTCCTTCTTCTTCTAAGCTCCAAACTTCCTTCACCAAGAAAAAATCACTCACAAGAACAATATGGGGGCTAGGGTTTCGCTCTACAACTCTCTGGAAGTGTTAGTGACAACGGAGGCCGAGTTAGAGTGCTTAAATAGGTTGCAAACACTTAGGTTAAGATTTTTGCCCAAATAGGGCATACTCGCCGAGTCCGAGGCTCAGACCCCGCATCTCATCCCGCTCCTACTTGGCGAGTTGGTCCTTCAACTCGCCGAGTCCAAGGCAAAATGTATGAATTAGGAATTATTAATTACAAGAAATATGTACCGGGAACCAAGTGCTACAAGTTGAGTATTTGTTGAATGGTCCCACGGATGGTGCCACAAGTTGCGTGTAAGGTTTTCTCACCCTGTTCCATACAGACTATGTAATATGAAATGAGGGGTGCTCGAGGTCTTAAACTTGAAAGGAAAACACGACTGTAGGGCGTATTTTATGGGAGTACTGGGAAAACGCTCTTATGGTGAAGTTAGATATCAAATTTGGTAGTATTTTGATTGAATGTAAATCGTTACAAGAGTTGTGTACATATTTCCTTGTTATGGTATCCTTTATAATCCATTTCCATTGGGAATAGCTTCGTGGGTTGGACTGGGCAAAACCTGTCCCATTGCCATTACTGCTTCCTTTGTCGAGGGTACAAAAGGTTGTACTAGGAGGGGCATCAATCGCTTTCGTTATTGCAAGAGTATTATTATGAATTCCAACGGTTATTTTACAACCTTTTCAACGACGATATTGAGGCCTCTATAAACCTCCTTCCCACTGGTTCGACCAGTTTATTCCTCGAATCAGCTTGTATCTGTCGCAGGGCTCGTTCGATATCGTCAGCTTGTATGAGGTGTGTTGTCATCATCTTTTTCCCATTTTCTAGGTTACACGACATTGATTAGCCGATTGATGAATCGGATCTTGGATCGTTGTCCCACCGACGAACCAGTCTAGATTTCGAAATGGAAGACAATAGAAAAAGGGTCTCCCTCTATTTGTCTTCTTCTCGCTGCTTTTCTCGTCCATCATTACCTGTGCCTCTTACAAATTTAGTTGCAGGTATCTAAGCATCCATTAGTTAACGGGGTTGGGGTGTGAAGCGCAAACCGCTCTTTGATCTCCCACTGAGTTGGACGGGAAGAGACATATGGGGGTAATATATGAAGCATTTTAATTATCCATGGTTGAAAGTCATCTTCATAGGGAGTTTTTTTTTTTTTTTTTTTTTTTTTTTTTTTTTTTTTTTTTCTTATAAACATAGAGTTGGAACTTGCCGATGGACGAGAGAACCAACGTGAAGCTTCTGTATTAAGCCTTTTTATGAATGTAGTGTGGCCGACCAGGCATATACCTTATTTACAGGTATTAAAAATCAAAAGAGCGAATTATAAAAAAATAATTAGTGGATTTCATGTTATTATTTCTTGAGTAGTAAGACCGACAAAAAAAAAATATCAAAATATTTAATTTTCTTTTTACTATTTACATTTTATACTTTTTATTGTTTTGCATAAAAACAAAATTATTAAGCTCAATAAATATATTTCGATAAAAATTAAATTACTCACATCTCATATGATGTATGAGGTGCGACAAACACATATAAAAACATTATTTTTAGAGTCCTACTTAGGAAAAACTTATTAACCATTTCTAGTTTATTAAACGGTTTAATTTTAACAATAGCTAACTTTATGCCACTGTCACTGGGTTTGCTCTAGAAAAGAAGAAAGGTTGGACTTGCAGAAAGTCAGAAACATGAATAATCCATTAGTCCTAGAAAGCCGTCAGACAAGACCAGCGTAAATGTACAACTTACATTGAACAACGTACAAGTCATTATGAACATATGTTGATCAAATGTCTACAATTCAACCATACAACCGCGTAATCAAACATTGAATAATACAATAAATCGTATTCACACAGTCGTCTTATTTAAGCAATTCATGTCCTTCCCCTCACCATTCCTATACACTTTCATGCCATCTAATCCATTCCACCACCACCATGCACTTCAGTCGCCTCTGCTTCGTTTTGCCGTCAGACGGAGACGACCACCAGCCAGTTGTCCATAACCACCGTCCTAAGCAACCGGACTCCACCTCACACAAACACCCACCACGTGGCCCTCATATTCCAGATGTCCTCCGGCGAGTTCTTCACAGACTGTATGACACAAAACCAGATATTTATTCTTGCGGTTTCAATCCATGGCATAAACAAACGTCTATTGTCTTTCACGACACCGAAGGAGTCCAGTTTCCGAACGACAAGGTGTTTGTGGGCCATAGCCCCAAAATCTTCAGCTACTCTGAGCTTTACATCGGTACTAAAGGGTTTAGCAAAGATGAGATCCTTGGATCAGGAGGTTTCGGGAGAGTTTATAGAGCGGTTTTACCGAGCGATGGAACTGTGGTGGCCGTTAAATGTTTGATGGAGACTGGTGAGAGGTTTGAGAAGACTTTCACAGCAGAGCTGGCGGCGGTAGCCCGTCTCCGGCACCGGAACTTGGTTCCCTTACGTGGATGGTGTGTTAACGAAGATCAGCTTCTTCTCGTTTATGACTACATGCCTAATCGCAGCCTTGACAGAGTACTTTTCCGGCGGGCGGCGCTGGTGCTTGGTTGGGATCAGAGAGTGAAAATAGTGAAGGGACTCGCCGGAGCTCTGTTTTACCTCCATGAACAACTGGAAGCTCAGATCATACACCGTGATGTGAAAACAAGCAATGTGATGCTTGATTCCCGTTTCAATGCCCGGTTAGGTGATTTTGGTTTAGCTAGGTGGCTAGACCATGAATTCAAGTACCAAAATGTTTCACCCTCCGTCAAGCACTACGAGATCAAGACCGCCGATACGACACGTATTGGCGGCACGATTGGATACCTGTCGCCGGAAAGTTTCAAGAAAGGCGGTCTTGCCACCGCCAAATCCGATGTTTTTAGCTTTGGCATCGTATTACTCGAGATTGCTTCGGGAAGAAAAGCAGTCGATCTTACGTATCCAGATGAACAGATCATTCTGCTCGACTGGATTCGAGAATTAGCTGATGATCAACTACTTGTAAAAGCAGCCGATCATCGGCTACATGATGGATCATACAAAGTTCCTGATATGGAACTTTTGATCCGTCTTGCGTTACTATGTACTCTCCATGATCCACAGTCCCGACCCAATATGAAATGGGTCGTGGATGCACTTTCTGGCAATGCCTGCGTAAAGATCCCAGATCTTCCGTCCTTCAAATCCCACCCACGCTACATCTCAGTATCTCCACCAATTACTAGTAGTAACACTACAAACACAACCACCACCATCACCATCACCACCACTACCACTGTTTCTGGTGATTCAACCACTACCACAACCGCCAAAGAAGGATTGAGTCGTCGTGGATCGAAAATATGCCCGATGGTGGAACTGTGCCCGATGGTGGAACCACCACGAGAGATAACCTACAATGATATCATTTCTGCAACTGATAATTTCTCGGATTCTAACCGCCTCGCAGAGGTTGATTTCGGGACCGCTTACTATGGTGTCCTCAATAATCGAGACATAATCGTAAAGCGGCTCGGGATGAAAACATGCCCTGCACTCCGAGCACGCTTCGCGAATGAGCTCTCAAACTTAGGGAGGCTTAACCATCGAAACCTTGTCCAACTCCATGGATGGTGCACTGAGCACGGTGAGATGCTTGTGGTCTACAACTACACGGCTAATCGTATCTTGGGTCAGCTCCTCTCACACCATAACCATCAAAGGTCACAACTGGTCTTACAATGGGGTCACCGTTACAATATTTTGAAATTACTTGCGAGTGCGGTTCAATATCTTCATAATGAATGGGAAGAACAAGTGATCCATAGGAACATCACCTCATCGGCTATAGGGGTCGAACCGGATATGAACCCTCGGCTCGGTTCGTTTGCACTTGCGGAATTTTTAACGAGAAATGAACATGATCATCATGTGGAAATCGACCCGAAAAGATCAGTCCATGGGATTTTCGGGTATATGTCGCCGGAATATATGGAATCAGGGGAAGCCACCACGATGGCGGATGTTTATAGCTTTGGTGTGGTGGTTCTTGAGGTGGTTACCGGTCAAATGGCGGTGGATTTTAGAAATCTGGATGTGTTGTTGGTTAAAAGGGTACATGCAATTGAGAATCATGAAAGGGATTACAAAAAATTGGTTGATCCTAGGCTAGATGGAGAGTATGATCACAAGGAACTCGTTAGGCTTGTGAAGTTAGCCATTGCTTGCACGTGGTCGAACCCAGGGTTAAGACCAACCATGATTCAGGTTGTGAACATACTCGATGGTCGTGACAAATGCCCCATGGAAGTAGCAGATAAAATGGAGAATATGGAAGAATGGAAAGAAAGAAATATGTTGGCGCTGTCACTAGTTAGGAGAGTTCAAGCTTTAGGAATACAATGAATCAAAACACACCTTTGGTTATTGTGCGGATATGTAAAGAATTCTAGCTAGCGTTTCATGTCAAGGCCAAGGAAGGCAAAATATTTATTAATCTAGTTACGTATAATATGGTAATGATATCTATTTTTCAACAGATAAAAGCAATGTAATTATATTTTTTTGCTGATAAAACTATAAACAAATTATCATTTTCAAATGTAAGTGCATATAGAAGTCGATTGTCTATTGAATATTGATAGCGAGTGTTAAATAAATTGTGATTTTTCAATTTGCCCGATTCTAAAGCCATATACATATAAGGAGATAAAAATAGTAACAAATTTGATGAAGTTAAATATTGTGTATATAAACCTTACAGGGATGAGCAACTCTCGACCCTGACGCACACCCACACGGCCAGTGGCGGAGCCACATGGGGAGGGATGAGCAACTCTCGACCCTGACGCACACCCACACGGCCAGTGGCGGAGCCACATGGGGGGCAGTGAGGGTACTACAACATCCCTAAAAAAATTCTTCTATATATAATCAAATTACATGTGAACATGTTTTATGTTATTATACCCCCAATTAAAGGGATTATATAATATTTTTTAATATCCAGGATAGAATAACTACATAAAATATATTTTGACAATATTCGTACCCTCATATCAAAATTTCTGACTCCATCATTATCTTACCCGAAAACCGGCCGTTTTTGGATGTATTGGATTTGGTCCAGTCCAGTTCCAAGTACTAAACTAGGTTTCGGATTTTGGACCGAATTAAACTTTAATAGGCTTGTTAACGGTTTCAATCATATCTTGTTCCGAGTACCAAGCTGGGTTTTCTATCTTTGTTGTTTACGGTTTGGAGTTTTATTTGTCATGTTATTCCTTAGTCTCTAGCATATTATTTCAAATTATAATATTACTATGTAACATTCATCATTTATATCTTTGTTTTTTGTAAAATTCGACTAAAAAATATACAAAAGAAGATTAATACAAAGATAATATGTAGCAAACAAAATTTATCTCAAAATATTATTTGTGCAATTTTTGTTCACGGTAAAAATGATTTGTACTATTGAAAACTAAAAAAAGCTAATAAGAATTTAATGTTCATAAATAGGGATTAGTTTTTGAACCACCGGAACCGGAACCGGACGGGAATCCGATGTCACACTCCGGCCGTCGGCAGAAACACCGGGCAGTGTAATGTTATTTCTCATATCAGAGTTATCAACTTTCTGAAAACACATGCAATTTAAAATACGTCAACATAAAGTTGGTGAGTTCACATGTTTTGACTCCATATAAAAATAACACTTTTTCTCAAGTTCAAAATTATAGCTTTGAAAGTATAATTTTGACTCTCCAACATTTACTATATATATCCTAGGTATAAAAGTTTACTTACCAAATATGTATATACCTATAAGTCTCATATACTATAAATATAAGTGTTTGTAATTCCATACAAACAAAAGTTGCTACGTATAAATCTTATTTCAATTCTATACGAGAAAAAGCACTAAGTATAAATCTATTTCAATTCTATATGAGTATGTGTGCTAGGTATAATTATCTACTTAATATAAGTAGTACCTAGGGTATAAGTAGGGGGAAACCTATACTTAACATTAATACTTGTATAACGACGCAGTATAATGTTTCTAACAAGTTGCTACCATGAGTATGTAACCGTTGCTTGACAACAAAACCTCTGACAAAACATACTCATGATTTACCATGAAAACAATACACTCATGATTTCCATGAGAAACAACACCATATGTTTCATCGACACCAGAACAATAACAACAAAGGAACGGATCGTCACTCGCTTGTCTTGGGTTGTAATTAACAACCACGAGTGGGGTCATCAACTCGTATCTTATTCATACACGACTTCCTCGCTCACGCAGGATTAACGGTTACAGGTCAGAGGACTTCCGCTAAGATCCCCAATCTTAGTTGATGAATGAGATAGCTCATGTAGACTTTGACGGCGTTCTATAGTCCTAACAACAAAAGCATTTTCATATCCAAAACCTTAAGTTACTAGACTATGCTTTTAAACAGTACTCCTAATTTCATAGCATTTAGGCAGTATAACATCTATAACTTGAAGTACAACCAGGTTTTATCTTGACATAAACCAATAACAACAACAACATATAACATAACAAGTTTTATATTGACATAAAACTAACAATAACAACGTACATACTTTTTAACATATAGAACTTCCGAGTATAACTCTGGAACTATATCGCACACAACATATATATAGAATCCTAAGTATTACTTAAGATCTACATTAATATATTTCTATAACAATAGCATGCTAACAAGTTGACAGTAGTTGTATATATTAAAAAAAAATATATTTTTAGAACAACTATATCTTAGTTAATATAACTATTTACGTTGATGCTAATATACCATCATATAGACATAATAGTAATGTATATACAATATTTAGCATGCATTTTCCCCCGAAAAATATTAGAAAGTGGGGTCGTGAAACTCACGTTAATATCGTGTTTCGATAGAATCTAACTGAAAACAGTTAGCAGTTCGCGATCACCGGGCTCGGGAAGCGAAACAGCTTCAGCAAACGAGAGAGAAAGATAGTAGAAAAGGTGTAATGAACCTTGGGGTCGAAATGGCTATTTATAGGCATATTTTGGCCCTCACGGCGTGAGAAATGATAGGTTCATGTCGTGAGTTATGGAATGAGTCATCCCGTAGATGTAACGCGTGTTTTCTAGCCTCGAATAGTGTTCTGTAGCATCCTCACGTCGTGAGAAAACCTATCGTTCCGTAGACTTCTAGAAGCAAAATGAGGCGGTTTTACTCCTCACGTCGTGAGTTTTTAGGCTCACGCCGTGAGTCGAGTCAGATTAGGGTTTCTGATACGTGTCGTGCTCTTAGACACCTGTAACTTCGGAAGGTCGTAACTTTTGCATATGAACTCCGTTTTTGACGTTATTTATATCCACGCGTAGTATTTACGAGCACTACAACTCTCTTTTACACCTTAATAGATAAATGTACGTCTATTTTAAATTCATTTTTATTTATTTAGATTTATAGTGTTAGGATTTATCATAACTTCTTCACGCGAAGTCAGATTTAGATGTTCTCCATATTTTTGGAATCGTATGGACGTATACTTTGAGTTGTATCCTAAAATATGTATGAAAGTTCATATTTTAACATTAATTATATAGTAAGTTTATCACATTACTAGTTTAACGAAATCACATTACATGATTAACATAATCACATGTGATTGTTATTGACCTAATTTTGACGGGTGTTACATTCTCCCCCTGTTAAAGAAATTTCGTCCCGAAATTTATCTTGTGGATGAGGAATTGTTAATTAGTTGGGGAAAATTCTATGGATATTGCTTAACACTTGATGTAACTTAAGTTGATATCCGATAGAACCAATTCTTGCTAGAATTTCAATAGGTTCTATATATCGCGCGTTTAGCTTGTCTCGTTTCCCGAATCTAATCATGCCTTTCCAAGGAGAGACCTTCAATATTACTTTATCTCCAACTTGGAGTTCTAAAGGCTTACGTCTTACATCAGCATAACTCTTTTGACGATCACGTGCAACCTCTAATCGATCCTTAATTTGCACGATCTTTTGTGTTTGTCTTGTGGATTATTTTTGGTCCAGTACGTAAGGTATCACATGTTCGTTCTCTGGCCATCTGCATGTCTCCAACTTCTACCTAACACACTAGGGAACATCATTTTCGTCCATAAAGGGCCTCAAACGGTGCAGCCTTGATGCTGGTGTGATGACTAATGTTGTAGGAAAACTCAATTAACGGTAAATGAGTATCCCATGCATTTCCAAAGTCTATCACACATGCTCGGAGCGAATCTTCTAAAGTATGAATGGTTCTCTCACTCTGACCATCAGTCTGTGGATGCTAAGCTGTACTCATATCTAGACGTATTCCTAAGGATTTTTGTAGAGATTGCCAAAATTGTGAAGTGATTCTACTATCTCGGTCAGAAATAATAGAATTTGGAACTCCATGCAATCTGACAATTTCCTTAAGATAAACTCTAGTCAGCTTCTCTATCTTGTCGTTCTCCTTAATTGGTAAGAAATGGGCGGACTTAGTCAATCTATCGACTATTACCCAAATAGTGTCGAACCCACTAGGAGTTTTGGGTAACTTAGTGATGAAGTCCATTGATATCTGCTCCTATTTCCATTCAGGTATTTCTAGTTGTTGAAGTAAACCTGAAGGCTTTTGATGTTCTGCCTTTATCTAGAACAAATCAAGCATTTGCTCACCTAAGTGTCAATTTATGCCTTCATGTTTGGCTACAAGTAATGTACTTTTAAATCTAAGTACAGTTTGTCAGAGCCTGGATGTACGGAATATATGGATTTGTGGTCTTCTTCTAAGACCAAGTCCTTGACTCCACACAACTTAGGTGTCCAAATTCGGTTCATAAAGTGTCGTGTTCCGTCATTTTTTGTATAAGTTGCTCTTCCATTCCTCGCAAAGCTTCGTGATTGATGTTTTCTTCTTTTAGAGCCTCAAGTTGAGCTTCTCTAATTTATGTGAGAAAGTTAGAATGGATAGTTATGGTTAATGCTCGTACCCGTCGGGTTTTAATATATTCTTTCCGGCTCAAGGCATCTGCTACCACATTTGCGTTTCCAAGATGATAACAAATCTCACATTCGTAATCATTCAATAATTCGACCTCTCTTCATTATCTCATATTAAGATCTTTTTTGGTTGAAGATGTGTTGGAGACTCTTGTGGTCGGTAAAAATAGTACACTTAGTACCGTATAAGTAATTTATCCAAAATTTTAGAGCAAAAACTACAGCTCCCAATTCAAGATCATGGGTAGTGTAATTATTCTCATGCACCTTAAGATGTTGTGATGCATAGGCGATAACTTTTCCTCTTTGTATCAACACACATCACAATCCTTGATTTTGATGCGTTGCAGTATACGACGA